TGTGATTTTAGTCCACAGATTTATCTCATTTGGGCATACCCAAAAACACTTCCCTGTTTTAATACTGCTTGTAGCTAGTTCTTGGATATCTGCACAAGGGGCGTGACACCAATTTCCACAGAAATGACAATTTATGCATGTGGAAGCCCGTTTGTTTGACTGACCACAGACTACACACAGCTTCATAATGATTTGAATGGTTGATTTACTGCAATTCTACTAGCAACCTCTTGAATATTCTATAATAACCTGCTAGGTGGTGCACAACGAAACCGTTTGAAACCAGTCCAGGTTCGGACCAGTCAAGGGTTCGGACCAGTCTATCTGATCTGATCAGTGGGTCACTTATTTAAACCATACTGGTCGTGATTTGAGCTAACACATGAAGGATCTACTGTAAATTATCTACCCGAGTAATATGTGATTTGATTGATACAAAAGTATAACTTGCGTGTTGAAGAGCCGGTGACTGCTGGCACTCCTACAATGACGAACGGTCGAGCCTCCACCTTTGTTTATCAATCGCTGTATCTAGCTTCTCTATTTTTTTTTTTTCTTCTCCACCACAATAAATGCTATATTATCACTATAGTTGACTGGTGCAAATTTTGGAGGAAGGACGCTTTTTCTGTAGTAATAATTGCTACTCGTTGTGTATATTGCGACCGCTGGTAACTACAGGTTATATGAAATTCACAGTAACGTCTCGTATTTCAAGAAAAAGAAACTAATGAAAGTCAGTCCACTCCACTAAGTACCATTATAATACTGGTTAGATGCTACTACAACACTGTATTCTGCTATTCACTGGTATCACTAGATTATATGCGAGTACACTAGCAAGCCAGGAAGATTATTAAAAACAGCTGACCTGTGGTAAGTTTCTGGCGACTTCTGGCACCTGCCTCTATAGGCTTATCACTTCATTTACAAATTCACCTGTTTTCAAATGACACTTTAGCCTTTATCATCAATATACTAGGGAGCCACTGTAGTATACACTATACACTATGTATACTCAATGCTTTCAGGGAGACTTTCTTTCCTCTGACACAAAGTTCAATTATTATTATTTTTTTCACACGGGACACAGGCCTATGATTCCCCTCTGGCAGTAAACTCTGCTAGGAATTGCACACTAATTCTCCTTTTTTGACTCAGTATATAATGTTTTCCGCCCAAGATTGGTTCCAGGCGCTAGAGGGATGTATCGTATAGGATTGATGACACAAATTAAAGTTCTAGCACGTAAGAGCGACCGTGAAAACACCAGAAAACCGGGAGCACAACGAGGCACGCTGACTCTGTCACGCTACACCTACACCTCTGTAGTGATGTTAGCTGAGCTGTAGTGATGTTAGCTGAACTGTAGTGATGTTAGCTGAACTGTAGTGATGTTAGCTGAACTGTAGTGATGTTAGCTGAACTGTAGTGAGGTTAGCTGAACTGTAGTGATGTTAGCTGAACTGTAGTGATGTTAGCTGAACTGTAGTGATGTTATCTGAACTGTAGTGAGGTTAGCTGAACTGTAGTGATGTTAGCTGAACTGTAGTGATGTTAGCTGAACTGTAGTGATGTTAGCTGAACTGTAGTGATGTTAGCTGAACTGTAGTGAGGTTAGCTGAACTGTAGTGATGTTAGCTGAACTGTAGTGATGTTAGCTGAACTGTAGTGATGTTAGCTGAGCTGTAGTGAGGTTAGCTGAACTGTAGTGAGGTTAGCTGAACTGTAGTGAGGTTAGCTGAACTGTAGTGAGGTTAGCTGAACTGTAGTGAGGTTAGCTGAACTGTAGTGAGGTTAGCTGAACTGTAGTGAGGTTAGCTGAACTGTAGTGAGCTTAGCTGAACTGTAGTGAGGTTAGCTGAACTGTAGTGAGGTTAGCTGAACTGTAGTGAGGTAAGCTGAACTGTAGTGAGGTTAGCTGAACGGTAGTGAGGTTAGCTGAACTGTAGTGAGGTTAGCTGAACTGTAGTGAGGTTAGCTGAACTGTAGTGAGGTTAGCTGAACTGTAGTGAGGTTAGCTGAACTGTAGTGAGGTTAGCTGAACTGTAGTGAGGTTAGCTGAACTGTAGTGAGGTTAGCTGAACTGTAGTGAGGTTAGCTGAACTGTACTGAGGTTAGCTGAACTGTAGTGAGGTTAGCTGAACTGTAGTGAGGTTAGCTGAACTGTAGTGAGGTAAGCTGAACTGTAGTGAGGTTAGCTGAACTATAGTGAGGTTAGCTGAACTATAGTGAGGTTAGCTGAACTGTAGTGAGGTTAGCTGAACTATAGCGAGGTTAGCTAAACTATAGCGAGGTTAGCTAAACTATAGTGAGGTTAGCTGAACTATAGTGAGGTTAGCTAAACTATAGTGAGGTTAGCTGAACTATAGTGAGGTTAGCTGAACTATAGCGAGGTTAGCTAAACTATAGTGAGGTTAGCTGAACTATAGTGAGGTTAGCTGAACTATAGTGAGGTTAGCTGAACTATAGTGAGGTTAGCTGAACTGTAGTGAGGTTAGCTGAACTATAGTGAGGTTAGCTGAACTGTAGTGAGGGTGGCTGAACTATAGTGAGGTTAGCTGAACTATAGTGAGGTTAGCTGAACTGTAGTGAGGTTAGCTGAACTGTAGTGAGGTATTCTGAACTTTAGTAAGGTATTCTGAACTGTAGTGAGGTTAGCTAAATCAATGTGTATTAATGTTCCGTGATCCTACGAGAGTCTTATGCAGTTCCTTCCGCTAATATTTTATTACTTTGAAAGTGTAGACTGTGGTGATAGATACTTGGGAAGTTACATAGGCCGTGCTGTCTAACGTAGCCACGTTTGTATAGTCTTGGCAGGTATTCTGAGGGTGTTTAACATCTCCACATGGGAGGACCAGGTCTCTTTTCTGTGGTTCGGTTTGAAGTTATAGTACTCAAGATGGCTGAGCTCTCCAGTTTCGTTCGTAAATAAAGAATATATGGAGGTGAAGACGGTTGAAGGGTTGTAAATTTACGTATATTCTTCCTCGAGCAAAGAAGAACCAGCTAGAAGAAATGTTAGAAAAAAACGATCCAATCACTACTACCCTCTTGGTGAGTACATCGTGGTATGAGAACTGTATCAGGCCGCTCATCTTAGTGGGTTTGCACTCAGTACTTCTTGGTGGAAAAGTTGACCTACTGTGTCAGGTCGCCCATCTTAGTGGGTTTGCACTCAGTATTTCTTGGTGGAAAAGTTGACCTACTGTATCAGGTCGCCCATCTTAGTGGGTTTGTACTCAGTACTTCTTGGTGGAAAAGTTGATCTTCTTCCTCAAACTTTAAAATTTTTTCTGAGGATATTCTGGATTTCGAACTACCTTAGATACAACACCATCAGGCTATGGTATCTGGATCCATTGCGTGGGTCCTCTCTGCTGTAGTTAATCAACAGAAATATACGTATGTAGGCACCGCACTGAAGGGGCTACCCATTACCATGCCAAAACAATGAAACAGTTTTTTTTAAATATATGCAGGAATTAATACATACGTCAGTCAAATGAATAAAGTTATGCCAGACCACAGTGATGTCTGACAGTGATCCAGATGAAAAGACATCATTATTATATATGTTTTGTTCTGAGACCTTTGTCATTTATTTGGAGTGACCAACGTCCCGGGACAGAAAAGTGTCCAATAAAAGTGTCATAAATTTATTCCCTTCTTTCCTTTCATCCAAAATGTGGGCATCATTTCTTCCACTTTCATCTGTGATTTCATTGATTATGTCGAATGTGGCTACAGTAAGGACGTTAATAAACAGAGATATTACGTGAAAAGAAGGCATGTTTTTTCCATGATGTTACTGGTGATACAAGACACAAGAACTAGTGAATATTTCAAGTGTGTGAGGCTAATTGTGTCCAGAAGCCCAGACAGTCTCTGACGGTCTCTGAGAGGCACTACTTTTCTCAAGGATAAATTTGCTTAAATTCTTTAAACTCTGACATATCTTCACTTCCCTTCGTTCACCTATGACTGTAAGTGAACAAATCAGGCATCCTAAATATTACACCTTACGAATGTACCACAAAAAGGTTTATAACTCGTCCATTATGATGATGTGGCAACACCCTTAAGGAAGTAGCCAAGAATGCTGTGAATGTGGCCACTACAGCTGTCGTATCCGTCAAATATCTCACCTGAAAGAGGCCTACTGTTACTTTCCCAGTATCAGCTGCTGGTGTGCACAATTCAGTGCAGACACTGTGATGAGTAATACGTGGAGGAAACTGATGACTAAGCTATCTGATGGGATCAACAAACAAAAATACGCAATGTATTAATATTGGAAGAATTTCCGACAATGTGTAAACTTGAAGGACACAAATGCAACTATTGTGATATTTTATTGTGGCAACGTTTCGCTCTCCAGGAAAGAAACCGTAACAGCTTGACGAAGCTCCTGGAGAGCGAAACGTTGCCACAATAAAATGTCGTATTAGTTGCGCTTGTGTCGTTTTACTTAACAAAAATCCGTATGTAGCAGAGATGAACAAAATAATCCCTGTGTGCTTCAAATAAATACCTGGAAGCATCCAATGAAATGGAAAGAAGATCAACTTGTCATTAAGGAGCCAGACTGAAGGAGACGCTAAAGTTTAGAAGTACCTGTGATAGCAGTAACAAAGATGGTTGTGCAGAGAGAAGGACGCTGTGACAAATGTGATAGGTTTTCTACACATATGATTCTATGTATGATAATCTATGTAACTGTATCTGTGTTAACCTGAATAAGCTTACCTGTTTTATCCTGCCCACCTGGAACACGACAATCAGGTGGTCTCACAGTGGTTCAGCCCAGCAGATCTCACTAAAGTTCAGCTTATCTCTCATGTACCTTTGCCAACATATACATGTATATATGGAGTGAATAAGGTCAAAAGATTAAAAAGTATCCATAATAGAATGTTCATGGTGCTTTCTCATGTGTCTCTTACTAGAGTTTGTTAGTATCATGTACCAAATTTTCACCAAATTTAACATTACAGACGTCGGGGACCAGCGCACAAGTGTTACCTGAGGTGACAGGTCCAGTACGAGTGTTACTCTTGGCTGTCACCGAGCTGGGACTCGTAGCAGCCTCCGAAGTCTTCTTCATCTTCGATGAAGCATCCAAGGACCACCACCACCACTTTGACTACATTGGAAATGCTTCTAAGAATTACCTTACCCTTGACCAGGTGCGAAACCTGGTTGACCATCTCCCTCCTGATGCTACTTCATCTTCCGAAATCCCATATGGATATAAAGTATGTATTATTTTATATGTTTAATTTAATCTAAGGAAGGAGATGAAAAGTCAATTTTCTTTGCTTAGAAGCCCCTCACAAGTGCTAAACTTTCTTTAAGCAGTGTGAGAGTCAAAAAAACATCTGTGAGGGTCAAAAAAAAAAAAAAAATCTGTGAGGGTCAAAAAAAAAAAGAAAAATCTGTGAGGGTCAAAAAAACACTTCATGAAACTGATTCCAATTTCTAAAGATCAAGATTTCCTCACCTGCATTAAGGGTTCATCCTCCCTGAAGGCTTCACGAAGAGTTAATTTCATTTATCTTATTAAAGAAATATTGCTAGAGTTTTGACTTACAGATCCAATACTTATACTAAGAGATCCATGTTAAAATACCCAAGTACGAGTGTCTTGTTGGCAATGGGAGAGAGGCTGCTTTCAGCAGAGGAGTATTAATGAACAGTGCGTCTGAACACCACTGATTGTTAAAGTGTTCACATCTGCTATTGAACAGTTTGAAGTTCACTGGTAGATAGCATTTTCATTAATATTTTTCAAAGATCTTTTGTTCATTATATAAGAGGGTATAGAGCACAAACCAGTGACCTGCCGAGTTGCTTAAACCTTTCCTCTTCACTATTTTAAAAAAAGTGAAACTAGCAACTTTAAAAACTCTCCAGGAACAGTTTGAGGAAGCAAGTAACATCGACCGTAAAAATATATAATTATATATTACATTACATTAATATTAATTAACATTATATTCAAGAAAATGTATCATTTGCATATTGCTCAGAGAAGAACATATAATGGAGAGGTACCGATGACAGGGTAAAGCAGCAACAAGGGTGGATTCTGGTGCTCAAAACTAAAGTTAGGAACATGACTCAAGAAATCGTAATGACACGATTGCAAACCAACCATACCCCGGCCGGGATTGAACCCGCGGTCATAGAGTGTCAAAACTCCAGCCCGTCGCGTTAGCCACTAGACCAGCTAGCCACAATAAGATTCATCCAACTAGGTATATTTCTACACCATAGGAAGGTTAGCACAGGCACCACTGTGACCACAAATGCAAGTTTTTACAGACGAATCTCCAGCTAGCGTGGCCGTGACGAACTCTAGCTCAAGTCCCTTCACTGCCGTCAACATGACTCAAGAAATCGTAATGACACGATTGCAAACAAACCATACCCCCGACCGGGATTGAACTCGGGTCAAAAAGTCTAAAAACTCCAGCCCGTCGCGTTAGCCACTAGCCCACTAGCCAAAAAGTTTGTGGTCACTGTGGTGCCTTGAAAAACCCTTTCCCAAATGGTGTAAAAAAATTACCTAGTTGGATGAATTTTTTTGGGGGCTTCTGGTCTTGGGGCAAAACGCGACGGCTGGGAATTTTGAGACTCTTTTTAACCGGGGGGTTCAATGGGGGCCGGGGGTTTGGGTTTTTTTTTTAAGTTGGGAAAAAAAATGGTTCTGGTTTAAAGTTGGCTCGTTCTGGAGGTGGACGGGTAAAGATTGAGGGGGGGGGGCCCTTGAGAAAACTGAAAAAAGAGGTTGGAAAAAAAACATGGGAAAACAAAAATGGGGAAAAACAATCAAAAGGTTTTTGCCTCACCAAAAAAATTTGAGGGTCTCAAAAGGGTACTGGGAGTTCTCCCATGAATGCCATATTTTAGTCTTTTTTTTTCCCAGAGCCCACTTTTATGTGAGCCCCCAAAATAGCATGATAACAGGAGGTTGCCAAAAAGCAAACCAGTTTTAATAAAAACTGAATGTAGGTCAATTTTTATGCCACCCAATTTCAAAAATGCATTAAAATTTAATTTTTGGAGATAGTTAGAAACGGCTTTTTTCTTTAAAAATGTTAATAATAAAAATAATAATAATTATTATTTTTTTTAAGTTTTTTTTATTATTTTTAATTATTTTTATTTTTAAAATTTTATTATTTTTATTTTTATTATTGCAATCAGGGGGGAGAGCTAATGATATAGATGTAAAATAGAGCCGGGGAAACTAAAGGGAAATAAAATTAAACCAAATAACCCCAAGTTTTTCGTTGAAGGAGGAGGGGGCCCAGTTACCTAAAGTCAGTAGCTAAACTGCCGGGGGGGTGGCCGCACGTGGGTTTTTGTGTGTGGGTGGCAGAAAACACCTGGTTGATCAGACCCTGATTCACCGCGAGGCCCGGGGTCAGGGCGGGGTTTAGCGGAGGTTTTAAACCCCCAAGGTACCCCCCCCGGGTATACTCCTTGGGAAATGTAGAGTAATTCCGAATAATTGGGTTAAGATTGAATTTAAAAAATAGCGGAAGCCTTCCTTGAAGCTCCCAAAAAGAACTACTCCCGTGGAAAGTTTATAACCTTTATAAACTGTAATCCCTTTCAGAGAACCTACATAAACTGTGAAAACCCACAGAGAAAAACTACAAAACGGTTTGAAAACCCACAGAAAACACTACATAAACTGGAGAACCTTTTCAGAGAACATACATAAACTGTAGAACCTACAGGGGGGGGGGGAAAAACACATAAACTGTGAACCTACAGAAAAACACACATAAACTGTAGAAAAACCCACAGGAACACTACATAAAATGTAGAAAACCAAAAGGAACACTACATAAACTGGAGAACCCCACAGAGAAAACTACATAAACGTAAAAACCCACAGAGAACAAATACATAAACTGTAGAACCTTTCAGAGAACACACTTTAAAATGTAGAACCCACAGGAACACACATAAACTGGAGAACCCCCCAAAAAGAACACACTAAACTGAGATCCTACAGAGAACACTTTAAAAAACTGTAGAAAACCCACAAGAAAAATACTAAAATGTAGAAACCCACAGAGAAAAACTACATAAACTGTAGAAACCAAAAGAAGCACTACCTAAACTTTTAGAAAACCCACAGAGAACACCACATAAACTGTAGAACCTTTCAGAGAACACTACATAAACCCGGTTTGAAACTTTCAGAGAAAACAATAAAATGTAGAACCCACAGAGAACACTACATAAACTTAATCCTTTCGTTGTTTTTGTTCCAAACCCTAAACGACCACCCACTGGGGCGGTCTCCCCGTGGGAGAACACCCCGCTCAGGGATTATCTCTTCGCAATGTTTGGGCCCGTCAGGAACTCGTTTTTTTTGTCCCAGACGGGCTTGGGGTGCTTCACTTAAAAACCCCTTGCATTTTTTTCAAAAAAAGTCACAGTGTGGACTTTGGGAAAAAGTAAAAAGGTTTTTTCCCAAATCGGGAGAAATGCCGCCCTAAGCTCCCCCCTCTCCCATGTGGGGGGTTTCTTCTGGGTTTTTTCCATTTTACGGTTTGTGCCTCAATTTTTGGTTCTATTTTCATTGTCATTTCACATTTTTCACATTAATTTTTTCTGTATTTTTTTTTACAACGTTTTTTTAATTTTTTTTTTCCCCGGTCAGTCCTTTACCCAAGCTCATCCATGACTCCCCGACGGGGCTTTTGCATGCTCCCCCACGCCCCCATCCATGACCCCCCACGATATCCCCTGACTCACCCACACTCATCCTGACTCCCCCACGACTCCCTCCATGAACCCCCCCCACGACTCATTTCCCTGGGCCCCCCCCACGACTCATCCATACTCCCCCCCGACCATCCCCTGACCCCCCAAAGACTCATCCATGACTCACCCCCGACTTTCCAAGGCTCCCCCCCCCCGACTCATCCATGACTCCCCCCGACTCCTTTCCCTGACTCCCCCACGGGCCCATCCATACTCCCCCACGACCATCCCGACTCCCCCCCCGACTCATCCCTGGGCTCCCCCACCGACTTTATTTCCTGACTCCCCGAAGACCATCCATGACTCCCCCACGACTCATCCATGACCCCCCCCACGATCACCCTGGCTCCTCCACGACTCTCCATGACTCACCCATGACAAATTTCCCCCCCAAATTCCCCAAGATTTTATCCATGACTTCCCCCCCCGACTCATCCATGACTCCCCCCGACCCCATCCATGGGCTCCCCCCCCACTCAACCATGACTCCCCCCCCCGACTCCCTCCATGACTCCCCCACATCATCCATGACTCCCCGACGACCATGCATGACCCCCCCCCCCGAACGACCTTTATCCCTGAATCCCCCCCCGGGCTCATCCCCTGGGCTCCCCCAGGAAATCATCCATGGCCCCCGCTCTCCAAACCCCCAGACTCATCCCTTTGGGCCCCCCCCCCGACTCATCCAATGACTCCCCCACCCCTTTTCCCCCCCCACGACTCATCCCTGGGTCCCCCCCCACAATCCCTTTCCCCTGACTCCTTTCCCCCAAAGAATTTATCCATTTACTCCCCCCCGGGGTCAATTTTTATGGCTCCCCCCCCCTCCCCTCCCCCCACGGACTCTCCATTTACCCCAAAACCCCCTTACCCAAAAACCCCCCGACTTCCCCCTTCCCCCACGATTTATCCCTGACCCCCCACACTCTCCCTTCTCCCCTTTACTTTTTTCCTTTTTTTCCCCAAAAAATTTTCCCTCTCCCCGACCCTCATCCATGGAAATCCCCCCCGACCAAAAACCCTGGGCTCCCCCACGGGCTCATCCCTGACTTCCCCCCCCCACTCATCCCTGGACCCACGACTTATGACTGACTCTCCCCCCTCCCCCAAAGACTCACCATGACTCCCCCATTTTCTCCATGACTTACCCTTTATCCTTCCCCCCCCCGGGCTCCCTGACTCCCCCCCGACCTCCAAAAACCAAAGCCCTTCCCCCCACGGACTAAAAACCATTGGTTCCCCCCCGAACAATTCCTTTAAAAAAAAAATTAAAAAAAAGGGAAAAAAATTCCCAATTGAAAATCCCCCACCACTCTTTTCCCTATATTTCCCCGAAAATTTCCCCAAGGGAAAACCTCATTCCCTGAAAATTTAAAAAAATCCCCCAAAAACCAAATTACTCCCCTCCCCCACGATAAATAAGTTCTTCCCCCAACAAATGCCCAAACCTTGGGAAAACCTTTAATTTCCCCAAGACTCCAAAACCAGATTTCCCCCGCACCCCATTAAGAAAAATCCCCCCAAAACCTCCCAAAAAAATTAGGAAAGTAACCCCAACGGTTAGGGAAATAAATTAAAAAACCTATTAATTTTTCCCCAAAGGGAAAAAAAATTTCGAGAAGGGAAAAATAAAAGGGGGTAAAGAAAATTGGGTAAATTACCCCTTTTTAAATTTAAAAAAACTCTGGGCCCAACCCGGCTTTTTGGAAAAATATTTTTACCCCGGGGGAAAAATTAAAGGGATTCTTTAAAACTTTTTGGGAATAAAACCTAATGAAAAATTTCCCCTAAGGGATTTAAAGGTAATGAATTAAACCAAAACCCTTTTAGGGGTTAAATTTAAAAATTTTTATGGATAAGGGTTTCTTTTCAAAACCTGTAAATGTAAAGTTTTTATATCGCAACCTTTTCCCCGCCCTTGGGAAAAACGGGGGTTTATTTTCCCCTTTAAAAAACCCCCAAAAGATCCGGAATTTTATTTACCCTTACCCCAATTTTTAACCCCCTCTTTAATCCTTACTTTAAAAAAGTAGGGAAGTTTTAAATTTTAATCTTGTTACCACGATCATCCAGACCCCCCCACGATCCATCCACAATACAATGCGAGGACACAGTCCCACCCTACGGTTAGGTCAGGAATAAACCCAATTGAATACCCTTTCTTTGGAAGCTGAATTCTGGTAAAGAATAATAAGGGGGAACTAGAGAGAAAATGGATTAATTACCACCATTAGTAACATAAACTGCCACCAACTGCTTTTGGCAGTATATTTACACGAAAATAAAGTTCTAGAACTAGAGCAAGAAAACTCAGTGAGATTCATACAGAACATTTAGGATATATGAATCTAACAGAACTATATAGTTACTGGCCCATAGGGTTGCTCACACCATAGATAAAGTAAGTTAAATTCAGCATACAAAATGTACCAGATCTTGAAAACACTGGTGATTTACCTGTAAAAGAATCACAAAAGGCCATATTCCATCTTGCTAGCTTATGTAATGAACACCTGCATTATACTCCTTAATAAAGTAGAAGTAATCTGAATCTTGATTAGTAAGTATAGAGAATGTTCTCTCATTAAGGTACTTAACTACTTGACAACACACCATTTTCTGCAGAATTTTTGACAACACTGAGTATGCTAACAGAACTATAGTTGCTGACGTCAGACTTACTCTTTTTCTACAAGTTAGGAGTAACTCTGGCTCCTTGAACCCTCCGGAACGGTAGTAGTGGTGGATAAATATATTATATGAGCAGTGAGGACTGGCACTTCAGAGGCGCCATCTTTCACGAACTTGTTGGTGCAATAATTGTGTACAATGAATCGAAATAATTTGCCACTATAGTTATTTAGTGTTATACCTCGTTATTATTATTTAGCACAATGTTAGACCTTTCTACGGGTTTATGGTTATTGTTTATGGTTATTCTTGTGTTCTTTACAAAATTCTGTGCAATTGTGCCTAGACTTTGCTTGTTTTATAAGCCTCTGCACACTGTTCCTCGCCTTCGGAATTTGTTTAGCGGTGCAATATCTCTAAATCTTTTCAGCAACTGATTCCTGAATTTGATATTATCCAATACCTCAGTAGTTATCCAGGCTTCAGGCCGTCGTTTAATCCTGGTGCAATATTATCAAGGATGATAGTAAATATTTTTTTGAATGTTCCCAGGATCAGTTTTTACGTGTCCAGGCATCTTTGCATGTGTCCCAGGACAGTTGACGTTCCCAGGCATAGTTGATGTGTCCCAGGCATCTTGAGGTCCCAGGCTTAGTTGCATGTGCCCCAGGCATCATTTGCATGGCCCGGGCATCATTGCATGTGCCCCAGGCATCTGTTGTACTGCCCCAAGGGCATCTTTTTGTACGTGTCCAGGATCGTTGTACGTGCCCCGGGATCATTTTGTACGTGTCCCAGGCATATTTGTACGTGTCCCAGGCACAGTTGTATGTCCCAGGCACAGTTGAGGCCCCAGGCATCATTGTCTGTCCCAGGCATCAGTTGTAGTGCCCCAGGCATCAGTTGTAGGTCCCGGGCATCTGTTGTACGTGTCCCGGCTCAGTTGCATGTGCCCCAGGATAGTTGATTGTCCCAGGCTCTGTTGTACGGCCCCAGGCATCGTTGCATGTGTCCCAGGCATCAGTTGATGTGTCCCGGGGCATTGTTTAGTGTCCCAGGCATCATTGCATGTGTCCCGGCATCAGTTGCATGTGTCCCAGGCACAGTTGCTGTGTCCAGGCACGTTGCATGTGTCCCAGGCATCTTTGGCATGGTCCCGGCATCATTTGCATGTGCCCCCAGGCATCAGTTGCAGTGCCCCAGGCATCAGTTCATGGTCCAGGCATCGTTCCCACTGTCCCAGGCATCAGTTGCAGTGTCCCATCCAGTTCGTGCCCCAGGATCATTGCATGTGTCCAGGCATCGTTGAGGGTGTCCCAGGCATCAGTTGCACGTGCCCCGGCATCAATTGCAGTTCCCAGGCATCAGTTGCATGTTGCCCAGGATCAGTTGCATGTGCCAGGCTCGTTGCATGTGTCCCAGGCATCAGTTGCACGTGTCCCAGGCATCATTGCATGTGTCCCGGGAATCAGTTGCATGGTGCCCGGGCATCAGTTGCATGTGTCCCTGCATCAGTTGCACGGCCCCAGGCTCGTTGCTGTTTTCCCAGGCATCAGTTGCATGGTCCCAGGATCTTGCATGTGCCCAGGCATCATTGATGTGCCCCAGGCATCATTGCATGGTCCCAGGCATCAGTTGCATGTGTCCAGGCATCGTTGCATGGCCCCCAGGATCAGTTGCATGTGTCCCAGGCATCAGTTGCATGTCCCCCGGCATCAGTTCATTTTGTCCCAGGCATCAGTTGCATTGACCCAGGCATCATTGTACGTGCCGAGGCTCAGTTGTACGTGCCCCAGGCATCTTTGTACGGGCCCCATGATTTTTTGTACGTGCCCCCAGGATCAGTTGCTGTGTCCCAGGCTTGTTGAAACTGCCCCCCAGGCATCTTTGCATGTGTCCCCAGGCACTGTTGTCGTGTCCCAGGCATCAGTTGCACGTTCCCAGGCATCAGTTGATGTTCCCAGGCATCGTTATGTGCCCCGGCATCAGTGCATGTGTCCCAGGCATCGTTGCATGGCCCCAGGCATCGTGCAGTTCCCAGGCACAGTTGCATGTGACCCGGCATCATTTTTGACGGCCGCGGGCACCCTTTAGGCCCCAGGCATCATTTGTCGTGCCCCAGCACAGTTGCATATGCCCCGGGGGGATCAGTTGATGGTCCCGGGCATCAGTTGCATATGTCCCAGGGTTTTGTTGTACGGTCCCAGGCTCATTGCATATGCCCCAGGCTCAGTTGACGTGTCCCAGGATCAGTTGCACTGTCCCAGTTATTTTTGCACGTGTCCCGGGCATCAGTTTGCATAGCCCCAAAAATCTTTTTTACGTGCCCAGGCATCATTGCATTGTGCCAGGCATTTTTGTACGTGCCCCAGGATCAGGGGGCACGTGCCCCGGCATAATTTTGAGTGTCCCAGGCATCATTGCACGTGTTCCGGCTCAGTTGCACGGCCCCGGCATCAGTTGCACGTGTCCCGGGCTCAGTTGCACGGTTCCAGCATCGTGCAGTGCCCCAGGCATCATTCACGTGCCCCGGGGCATCATTCACGTGTCCCAGGCATCATTTGCACGTGCCCCGGGCTTAGTTGCACGTGCCCCAGGCTTAGTTCCGTTCCCAGGCATCAGTTGCAGTGTCCCAGGCATCAGTTGCACTGTCCCGGCTCAGTTCACTGCCCCAGGCATCATTTGCACGTTCCCGGGCATCGTTGCACGTGTCCCAGGCATCAGTTGAAGGTCCCAGGCACATTTGCACGTGTCCCGGGCATTAGTTGCACGTGCCCAGGATCGTTGTACGTGCCCAGGCATCAGTTGCATGTGTCCCAGGCATCAGTTGCATTTTCCCCGGGCATCTTTTGCACGTGCCCAGGCTCGTGGCACGTGCCCCGGGGCACATTTGTACGGTCCCAGCATCAGTTGCATGTGCCCCGGGCATCGTTGCATGTGCCCCCAGGCATCAGTTGCACGTGTCCCAGGCATAAATTGATGTGCCCAGGCATCATTGGGCATGTGCCCCGGGCATCAGTTGCATGTGTCCCGGGCATCAGTTGCTTTTCCCCGGCATCAGTTGCACGTGTCCCGGGGCATCAGTTATGTGTCCCGGGCATCAGTTGCATGGCCCCAGGCATCAGTTGCACGTGTCCGGGCATCTTTTTCACGTGTCCAGGCATCATTTGCACTTGTCCAGGCATCGTTGCACGGTCCCGGGCATCAGTTGCACGTGTCCCAGGCTCAGTTGCACGGTCCCGGCATCGTTGCATGTGCCCCAGGATCAGTTGCATGGTCCCGGGCTCATTTGCATGTCCCCCGGCATCAGTTGCATGTGTCCCGGCATCAGTTGCTGTGTCCCGGGATCAGTTGCTTGTCCCGGGCATCAGTTGCACGTGTCCCAGGCTCATTGCATGGCCCCAGGATCAGTTGATGTCCCCCAGCTAGTTGCATGTGCCCCGGGGACAGTTGCATGTGCCCCGGGCATCAGTTGCATGTGTCCCAGCATCAGTTGATGTGTCCCAGGCATCAGTTCATGTGTCCCGGCATCAGTTGCACGGCCCCAGGCATCAGTTGCCGTGCCCCAATCATTGTCGTTCCCGGCATCAGTTGCATGGTCCCAGGCACAGTGCATGGCCCAGGATCAGTTGCAGGTCCGGGCATCAATTGCATGTGCCCCAGGCATCATTGCATGGTCCCGGGCATAGTTGATGCCCCGGCTCAGTTGCATTGTCCCGGGCATCAGTTGCATGCCCAGGCATCGTTGCATGTGCCCCAAAAAATTGCATGTGTCCAGGCATCAGTTGCATGTGTCCCGGGGCATCAGTTGCACGTTCCCAGGCATCAGTTAAAATTGCCCCCAGGCATCAGTTGATGTTCCCAGGCTCAGTTGCAGTGTCCCAGGCATCAGTTGCAGGGCCCCCGGGCATCAGGGGCATGTGTCCCAGGCATCAGTTGCATGTGTCCCAGGATCAGTTGAGTGCCCCAGGCATCAGTTGATGTGTCCCGCATCATTTGCATTGCCCCAGGCATCTTTTTGCTGTGCCCCCCACATCATTTTTGCTGGCCCCCAGGCATCAGTTGTACGGCCGCAGGCATCAGTTGTACGTGTCCCAGGCATCTGTTGTACGGTCCCATGCATCTGTTTATGTCCCGGGCATCAGTTGCATGTGCCGGGCATCTGTTGTACTGTCCCAGGCATCTTGCATGTGTGCCGGGATCTTTGTACGTGCCCCAGGCATCAGTTGCACGTGCCCCCGGCATCATTTTATGTGTCCCGGGATCGTTGATGTGTCCCAGGCATCAGTTGCAGTGTCCCGGCATCATTGCATGTGTCCCAGGCTCAGTTGCACGTGTCCCAGGCATCATTGCAGTGTCCAGGCATCAGTTGCACGTGTCCCAGGTCAGTTGCACGTGCCCCGGGCATCAGTTGCATGTGTCCCAGGCTCAGTTGCCGGCCCAGGCATCGTTGCGGGTGGAATTTTCTCACAGCCAATCTCAATTGTGTCCATTTATAGCTCTAAATAACAAAAAAGGCACAATACCTTGACTGGAACAATACAAAAAAACCCCCGCAATAGGAGAGAGGATTTACGACGCGTTTGGGGTGCTTGGACCAATACAAAGTCAACTAAGAAGTAGAGAAAAGGCCCAAAGTCGGACCAAAAACTCATCGAAAGCTCCTCTTCATATGTGGGGTTGGTATTGCTTTACTTACCTCTTTTTATTATGTTGGCCTATCATCCCAGGGTACAATTATTCGATATGACGGGAAAGAACATGAGCTTTAAAAGGGGTTTGGCCTGTGTGTCACCGAGTCCCCATTTGCTGGGATTATAAAACCACAAACAATGAAATTGACGTTTTGGCAGTAAAGATTGAAATAAAAATCTTGTCATTGTGGTTGAATACAATTTCCCAACAATTCAAGGAACAGCTTCTGAAAAATTGACTACATCTTGAGAATCTCCAACCCCACCCCAAAATCTTTTTTCGTGAGAGTTCAAACTTTGGACACCTGAAATGGGGAAAAATGGATATATTTTTTTTTGCAGGTACCACGATGAACTTAAAAAAGGTATAAAAACCGACGGGGGTTTTGGGTAAGACACATATGCAATAGTTAGGTATTTTTATTTCGAAACGTTTCGCCCCACCAGTGGCTTCATCAGTCGGTCAAAAAAATTTGAAGAAGCAGAAATACTTGAAGGGAGATGTAATAGTCCATCCCCCTTAAATTTTTTGAGGTGGTCAGTCCTCTAATGTTCAATTCTGTCAGAACTGCAAATAAGGTTCTTGGTACAGCCCGCAATAAACTTAGACAACCTCCCCTATGAGAACGGCTCGATTTGAGAGGGACCTGACCTCACAAAACTGATTCTTACCCTTTTGTGACCTACGTCTCACCTCTTGGCGCATATAAGGCTCCAATTTGTCATTCATCTCCATATTTTTCCCATAGGAAAAATGCTCTTTTCGACTGAGGGGCTGACCACCTCAAAACTTTAAGGTGATGGACGATTTAAAACTCTTCAAGTATCTTCGCTTCTATCAACTTTTCGTACCGACTGATGAAGCCCATGTGTAGGGGAAACGTTTCGAAATAAAGAACCTAATGTTGCTTTTGTTCTTTCCTAACAGGATCACCCCAGGAGGCGTTAGATGAAAATTCAACAATCATTAGTTATTAAAACTCTGCTACGAATTCACCTTAGCGAGCAAATGGGGGAGCCAGCAAGACTGAAAAATACCTTTACCTTATTTTTATCTAATGATGATCTGGTTCGAAATATAAATACAACATAACTGAAGGACAGAAATGTATGCCCGGACTTGACCCGCAAAATGGCCAAAATCAGGGGCCCTCAACAAAACAACTTCAATAATGGAACTATAGTGGGATCAAATTAACCATATCCAAAATAACCAGCTGGGGGAAAAATTTTTATGCAAGACGGATCCGAAACTTCGCCCAAAAGAAGTAAACCCGTGGCACTTTAGGCTGCTCAAGGCCCTTTCCCCCAAGGAAAAAAAAAGTAAATTGGAAGAGAGCACGCTCCTCTGCAAGGAAGGCAAAACATCACAAAGTGGGACCATGAGTACACTAGAGACAACCAATAAGTGTCGGGGCCAAGACTGTTTTAAAGGGCTTTCCCCGGGGCATTGCCAATAGACCCCAAACTGTCTTCAAGCAAGATGGGCTGCACCGAAAATCAGTACCTGACCCCCAGGGGTTGGTTGTACTCGTGTGCGTGCGGCCCGGCAGTAAAACCCGGTTGATTAAGCCCCTGTCCCCGCGGCCTGGGGCACTACCGGTAGGGGGGGGCGTTGACCCCCGGAACACCCTCCCGGGAAAATCCCGGGTTTTTATACTACAGCAAATGTCGAAATATATGCATGATAAATATCACACGTACACTTATATGTACAATACACACATGTATACTTTTCACATTACACATAAGTTTATGTATAATTTTTCACTTTACAACCCCTTCATATGCATCATTAAAAACTTTAAAAAGGATATATACATAATCACATAAAATCACATATATACTATTACGGTATTATGAAAAAAAAACTTTTATACTGCAACAATACACAGATTAAAATATTCACAAGTATACATGCAGCAGGGTTATATTTTTTGCATTTCAATATTAGTATACTCTTTCCCTTTTTCTTTAGTGTGTTTTGAGGTAAGGGGGCTGGGCTTTGAGTACAGGGGGTCCTCCCCAGGATTGCAACGAAAGAAATGTATCTATTTTTATACTTTATTTACAAAAACCTAGTTTGGTACGTCTGAAAAAAAAAATTAATGTTATTTCTTTAATCAGCTGCGTCCATTAAGAGACCGGACACCTCACGAGAGAGACGTAAAAGGAACTCTCCTCACCCCTTTTCTCGGATGGGTCTGATGAGCTGCAAGTGGCCTTCCCTCTCCGAAAATAACTTATAACAAACCTGCATCAAGACAAGATACATCAACCCATTGCTGTTTCAAAAATTCGTCATGACAGAGATCACTTTAACCCCCCGATTCTCAAAAATGTATCATGACAGAGATCACTTCAGCCCCCACAAACTGTCTCAAAAAAAGTCATCATGACAGAGATCACTTCAAACCCCCAGATGTCTCAGCACGTACGTGATCAACAGCTTTAGCGCTTTGGTAAGTATTGGTATTCAGTGTTGGATAAAAGCAAAGTTATTATTATTATCATTATTTTGTATTTATTTATTTATTTATTTACAACGAGGGGAGATGAGGAGCTTTATTGTTTTTTTTTTTTTTTTTTTATTCTCCCCTTTTTAGTTTTTCTTTTGCTCAAAATTTAGAAGACATCTCCGACTGCCTTCTATTTTCAGTGATTAGTACAGAAAATACAGTCTTTTTTGGGGCAATTTGGACTACTGGTCCCCAGATCAAAAACTGTCCTTCCCTTCCCCTTGTCCCGAAACGTTTCCCAAAAACTTTTAAAAATCAGTGGCCCTAGCTTCCAGCATTTAAAAAAGGTGCCTTTAATTCTCACTAAGAAAAGTAAAATTCGTGTGAAGGCGTTAGCTTGGCGTGAAAAAATTTTATTTCCCTACGATCACGTTAAAAATTTTTGAAGTTTACCCCTTCAGAATGGCGTCAGTTTTTAAAGGATAATGCTAAGGGTGAAACACTAACTTAGGTTTTCCCGGTGCCCAATGCTGCAGCAGTTACTTGATTGTGTACGGCCAGGAGATGTGCTCGATAGTATACTCACCCAAGATCCTTTTTCTTTAGTGAGGTTTGTAGTGTTGTCCCCCCCGCCTGTACTCTGCGGTTTTTTTTCTCTTCCCAATTTCATGACTTTGTATTTTGGTGGGGGTTTAAAAATCAGGAGCCAGTTGTTGGAAAAAGGCATGCCCCTGTCCAGATCTATTGGCAGTTCTACCTGATCCCCATCCTCTTGAATTCCCGCTTAGCTTTTCCCTAGTCTGAAACAGAGACATTCTGAATCATCCCTTTCCCTTCGTCATTGACATATACCAGAAACAAAAAAACCCTCCCCATGTTTGACCCCCTTTTGTTTCCTTCCTGTCAGGTAATTTTTGATCCAGCAAGGCCTTTCCCGTTTTCTTGCCTTTCCTCAGTTTTTGCACTAAACCCTTTTTCAGAACTGTGTCGTTGCCTAATTTGTTCAGAAGATGCAGGCTATCCATTCAATTTCTCTCCTTCTTGGTCTGTTACCTTGTGAACTCCAGCAAGTGTGCGACAGAAAATTTCCCATCACTGAAACCATGTTGTTGTCATGTAAGGTCCTTTCTTTCTGTTGCCTTCCCCCTTTCTCAGAAATCTTTCCCCTTTATTTACACATGTATGTTCAGTGACAGACGGTATTTAAAATTTCCTGTCTGTCACCCTTCTTAAAAATTGAGCTAGTTTTTGTCTTTCACACCCAGGCAGTTGCCCTATTTCGAAAGATTTATTGAAGATTGTTGTTTTAAAGGCACACACAATGCCATTGTTCCATCTCTCGGACCCAGGGAGAGATGTTAAATGAGGTCACCGTTTGAGGATTTAGTTCACCTAGCGTTTCTTTATTCCTTCTCGCTTTTGTGCAGTGTGTCCACATTTTTCTGGTACCCCTACGCCCCGATTTGCTTGAAGCCTTTCTGTCTCCGCGGAATATCTCCCAAAAACGTCAAACTCTTCACATACTTCCTGGTCACGTTGCGGTCTCATTCTTCCTTCCTCAAACCGATTCCTGGTCCTTGGGTCAGCTGGGGCAGTCCGTTTCGATGATATTCTCAACTTTTTACTTCCCCTGTTTTCTTTCATCATAGGTCCCGCCTTTAGTCTTCGAAGAAAAAAAAAAATCATTTCCCCAAAAATACTTGAACGTAAATTTAAAAAATTTTTGTGGTTGCCGAATTCGAAATGTCTTTGGGTTTTCAAACTGGCTCAATTTTTTATATACAGCATACTACCCTCAATTAACAGGGGAACCTAACCTAACACGTGTATTATAAATGTTATGACAATTTTCATATCGTTAGTTAAAAAAACACTGCCCCCAAAACTGGGCTTGAACCCCTTTATACTGGCCCCCCTCAGGAGAGCAGAACCCATGATGCCTTAAACCCCCGACCACCCAACCCAAAACCCGTGAGTTAAGGGGGTTTATGTGGTTTGCTTCATGAGGCGGGCCCGTAAACATGGTTTCGAGCTTGGCTAGTACGTGTTGTTATTATTTAAAACCCTCGCTGTGGGTACAATAATTACAGAGTTTTCAATAAAAATTATAATTTTTTTTTTTTTAAAAGATTTATTTGAAAGACAGTTGTATAACAACGACCACGTGACAATATTGTAAAAAAAAGGGGGCCAAGTGCAACTAATGTACATTTTATTTTTGGCAAAGTTTGCTCCAGGAGCTTTACAAGCCGTTACAAAAAAACGGACCAAAAGGGGTGTATATTTCAAGTGAGGTGCAATGTATGGTAGTAGAAGTTTTACAGTAATACAATATGTCAACAATTTAAATTTTCACATGAGTAAAAAAGGGTAGAACGCTTTACCTGGGTAAACTTTTGCTTCTTTCATGATCTAAAAAATAATTTCAATGAGATTTGTAAAATTTAGCCCAGATGATCATTAATTTTTCCCCCTTTAATGTTTTCAACTGGATACCAAATTTCTCAAAAACTTTAGCCAAAACAAGCAAAACCCCAAAAACAACGGAAACCACACCACAAATTACCCAAAATCAGAACATTTGACCGAAAATAAGTTGATCGGATAAAAAAGTGCTTTCCCCCCTTCCTCATCCATCCAAAACCTTTGGACCGATTTAAGATCTCCAAAATTTTTTTCCTTACATCTCCCCCGGGTGCCCCCCTAAAAAGATTCACTTCTCCAAATTTTCCCCACTTAGCCCCATCATGTCATTGCTGTTCCTTTTTCTCAGCACCTTGCTTCTTTTGGGCCTGTCCAAAAGTCTCGCTTCAGCACTTCCAGTTTAATGTGTGTGTGCGCTCACCTATATGTACTCATCTGTATATAGTTACAGGGGTCGAGTCACAGCCCCTGGCCCCCCTCGTTGTTGGCCACCACTAGGTCCACTCTGTCTCAGCCTTATCGTACCTCTTCGTAAAGCAGTGTATGGATCCGGCCTCTACTACTTCACTCTCCAGATTGTTCCACTTGCTGACAACTCTAAGCTAAAGAAATACTTCCTAGAATCACAATGACTCATGTTAACTTTTAACTTCCAGTTGTGCCCTCTGGCACCTTTTTTCCATCTCTGGAACATTCTATCCCCATTCACCTGGTCGATTCCTCTCAGTATTTTATATGTCCTTATCATATTTCCCCAAGTCATTCTGTCCTCTAGTGTCATGAAGCTGAATACCCTTAACCTCTCCTCAGGACTAGTCTTGTTACAAAGCTCAGCACTTTCTCCAATATCTTGACGTGCTTGACCAAGGGTGGGTTCCATACTGGTGCTGCATACTCTAATGTGGGCCTGACGTACACGGTGTACAGTGTCTTGAATGACCCTTAGATGTTGAAACGCCATTCTTAGGTTTGCCAGACACACACATGCTGCAGCAGTTATTTGGTTGGTGTGCACCTCAGAATATTTACTTGTTACAATACTCACCCTTAGGCCCTTTTATTTAAGTGAGGTTTGCAGCCTTTGTCCCACGAGACTGTACTTCGTCTTCGCTTTCTTTGCCCTTCCCCAAGTTTTAAACGACTTTTGCACTTGGTGGGGTTAAAAACTCCATGGGGACATTTAGCAGACAATGTCTGTGGCCTCTTTTACAATGGTTTCGGAAGCAGGCAAATGTTATGGACACAAAAAAATATATGTAAATTTAACGTAGGATCTTCCAATAAAAAGAATCATTGTAACACTTTTATCAAGAGAGACATTCTTTAGTTATTTCAAGGATACCAATTTATTAAATTTAGCACATGATAACTTACACATTTTATATAAAAGTTTGTAACCTATCACAAGACGCATTCTCCAGATACTGAACAGCATCTAACGAAATTTGACTTACGAAGCCTAACACTAAGAAACGTCTCATCCGTTTACATATAATGAAGACGTTTAAAATTATTTTAATGAGGGAGAAAGCGCTAAAAACCATAGGGCAATATAGCAAATGGGAAAGGGAAAAGTCATTTAGATTAAAAAAAAAAAGGATAAAAAGGATACCTACACAGCACATTAACATTATCAAGCTTATTTTGAGAGGAATATATATGTATTAACATTTTTAAGCCGCTCAGAATATTCTTCCTAAAGTTATTATGCGGATTCCATTCATATAATAATAATAATAATAATAATAATAATAATAATAATAATAATAATATATTAATAATAATAATAATAATAATAATAATAATAATAATAATATTAATAATAATAATAATAATAATAATAATAATAATAATAATAATATTAATAATAATAATAATATTAAAATAATAATAATATTAATAAAATAATAATTAATAAAAAATAATAATAATAATAATATAAATAAAATAATAATATTAATAATAATAATAATAATAATAATAATAATAAAAATAATAAAAAATTAATAATAATAATAATAATAATAATAATAATAATAATAATAATAATATTAATTAAAAATTAAAAAATAATAATAAATAATAATTAATAATAATAATAATAATAATAATAATAATAAAAAAAAACCTTCACTTCTACAAAAATACATGATACAACTGATGCAGACACAGTTTTTATGTTAATGTCGAGGTTTATTACCTGGAACCTCGGCAGACACAGTTGACAAAATATTTGAATGCTTTATAGAAGCCTCTGGTTATAGGGAGCATTTCGGGCAGTGTACTTTTAAATCTTGTCTCTAAGATGCGAGTCACAGCGGTCGACTAACACACAGGTACTACTTACTGCTAGGTGAACAGTGGCAAAGGTGCAAGGAAAAATACCCAGCGTTTCGCTCGTGTCATTTGTTCTGCAAACATTCCCTAGTTGAAACGTTGAAGCGAAAACCGTGAAGGAAGTTATTAAAACATGGGCCATTTATAACCAATGTGCAAATGCTACAAAATCATACGAAAAATAGAGTATTTAACCCCGGTAAATACACTTGTATCCTAGCCTGAGCCGGGCTAGGATACACTTGAGAGGAAGCGAACAAAATCCTGAGAAACGTCACCAGTACCCTGTGAGGGATACCTAATAACAGTGTTCCTGACTTATATTGTAAATGTCTTTGGTTAGTAATCTAGAAATGTCTGTAATGTACCATAACTATAAACTAACTACATAAACAATTCTTTCATTCTTAAATATGTTAAAAACTATTTTTAAAGTAAAAGGACACAAGTGCAACTAATGTGACATTTATTGTCGCCACAATAAATGTCACATTAGTTGCACTTGTGTCCTTTTACTTTACATATTGTCGGTAATTCTACCAACTTTATTAAAAACTATATTCTATTGTTCTCACGTTCATACTGACCTCGGGTTCAAATCCCGCCCGGGGGTATGGTTTGTCCCCAACACCTTACCACAACAAAATTTTACCTTTTTGTCAACCTGGGTAAAAACTCGATATATTTCGGCCTTCCGTAATAATTCGTTAAAAGGAAAATCCCCCGTATTTCATAACACCTGCGTTTCAAGACATGAGTTTGGAAAATGCGCAGCGCAGCGTAAATAATAGTTTTTGAAAAAATTTGAGTGGAATCAGAAGATGCATAATAACTCATGATAAGGAAAGTATTATCCAAATTTCGCCAATAAAAATTGTAAATTAGGATATTACACGGGCCAATGACCAATTTTCTAAAGTACACAGTGCATTAAAACTTGAAGGCCCCTCACTGCGCTGTATGACCCTTGTATGTTAAGCGCAATTTTTCATTATAAAAATTGAAGGCCCTCAGAAGTTGCATTATTAAATTATCAGTTTGCAAGGGGTTGAATATAATCAGATATGACATTCAGAAAAGCAGCACTAATTTGTCCAGTTCAGAAAACAATAAATTGGGACCTACACAGGACCAGAATCAATCACACTTTTCTCCAGGTAAGAGTAATCATCTCTGATGACATTAAGATTCATGTCAGCCTAGAGAACATAACGTATAATGCTTTTAAACTATGGTCTTTAGGAACACATAAAGGATAGTTGGGTTAACTTGGGATAAACAATAACTTATTTGCTATCAGAAGAAACATTCTCCAGTAATTTAACAGAAACCAGTTTGATTAAAAAATTTGGTACATAACTTACGCAGTCAACACGGAGAGATTATTAATTTAAGGAAAACACATCAGCTCTTAAAGTTTAAAATTGACCAGTAATAATAATATCCATTTCTACAAGTATATGTACAAGTTATACAGATCATTGCTAACATCAGTGACATACTACTTATATAGAAAGCCGCTTGTTATGCTGAGCATTTCCCGCAAATTAGGTCCTTGTCCCAGGATGCGACCCACACCAGTCCACTAAACACCCAGGTACCCATTTTATGCTGATGGGTGAACATAGACAGCCGGTTTAAGGAAATACGCCCAATGTTTCAAATCCTCGCCGGAAATTGAACTCGGACACCTCACAGTGTGAAGCGAGAATTTTTGATATCACCAGGCCACGCGCCACCATAGGAAGCCCTGGACAAAATTGTTTTTTTTTTTGTCAGAATAGGTTTTCAAAAAATTCACGGCGTGAAACAGTTTCACCCGATTCCCAATGTTTTATCAACTTGGGAAATTAATTTCACTAGTCATGTACTAAAAAAGCCATACATCGACAAATGAACTATGAGATTTACTGTAGGTGTGATGAACGTTCAAATTATCTTCTTGATTCTTAGCTCAACGAGGCTCCATATATTTTAAAACTTTACACTGTTATACCCACAATTCCTAAATTTTCCGCTAAATTATTATTAAAGTTACTTAATTTTATTGTTTCAGGTTGATAATTCATGGACACTGGAAATCATGAATGTGAAGGTGGATACACTGGCAGAAGTGACTGTAGGTTGGGCACCCACGAGGGTCTCTTGTGTAGAGTATCTTCTCTCCTGGCTGGAAGAATCGGGCTTTGTTTCAGGCCATTTGTTGATGACCAGTACCGTAAAAAGTCCTTGTGGCCAGCTCAAACATAAAAATTACAGGTTGGATTAAAATTTAATTTTTTAAACATTTGCGTATTTTTTAGTGCTACGAAGAATTTTTTTTCCAAAAGTATTTAAAATAGTTAATTTTTATGAAAAAGCCTT